TCATGATGTGGGGATCTTCTCAGCAGCAGCCTGGAAGGCTTGTGAAGGTAGAGGGTGAATGAATGCAGCAGAGTGTAGAGAAATCCTGGAGGACAACCTGATGCCGTCTGCAGGAGAACTGAGACGTGGAGAAGACTTGTTTTCCATCAGTGAGCCGAAGCAAACAGCCAAAGCTCCACATAGATGGTTTAAAGACGACGGTAGTTTTTGTCATCAGTTTAAACTCTCACGTCAGTTGTGTTAGTTTTGTGTTTGTGTGTTTTTAGGAACTCAGATCAGCTGTTTCGCTCCGACTAACTTCTCCTGGAGACAAGCTGCTTATGTGGATTCGTTCTGCTGGGCTGCTGTACACACACAGGAACGGCCTCTGTGGCTGCACAAGGTACACACACACACACACAACAGACACACAACAGACACACAAAGGGAGGTGGGACTCTTCAGCCGTGATTAGTCAGTGTTGTGATGAAACTGGTCTGCTCAGCGACCTGTTCCAACCTGCAGCTTGTGTTCCAGCAGCAGCAGCAGCGTCACTTGTTGCTTTTCTTGCCTGTTGATGTAATGAAGACGTTCACTTCTTTACATTCCTGAATTAATCTGCCTGTTGTGACACTCGTAGCCCATTAATGAACGTTCTGTGGCGTCAGTTTGTCCTTTTCATTGTTCTGCTTGTGAAACAGAATTAGTGCAGATTACACGTCTGACTGTAACCAAACAGGAGGACTGGTTTCATGTTTTACTCTTTTTAACGGTCATTTTTAACAGTTTATTATGTCACCGGTTTCCCCCGTTTTGTGTGAATCACAGATATTTGTAAAGTGACAGAAACACGTATGAAAAGGACTGAAGCGTGATGTTCCGTGTTCTTCGTGCTGCTGCTTCAAGCCTTTGTTTTATTGGAGCTGCACAAACTTGCCTCCATAACTTTCAGCACATAATCAGACAGACTCGTGTTCTGCAGCATCACTTTCTGTTTGAAGGTCTTTGATAAGAACGTGCACGCTCACGTGGACGCCGTTCACATTTACTTTCAGGTTGTGCTTGTGTTCTGTTATCTGCGGCTCAAAGTCCTCAGACGGACTCGGATGTAGTATTAAAGTGCTGACCGGCGCTGTGGTGCCTTCAGGGACACCTGGTCAGAAGAAACCTGATTTGAGGGCTTTTTCTCTGCAGTTCTTCCCCTACATGCTGCTGCTGGTGGCAATTCTGATGTACACACCGGCTCTGTTCTGGAGATTTTCTGCAGCGCCGCTGCTGCAGTCGGATCTCAGCTTCATCATGGAGGAGCTGGACCGATGCTACAACCGAGCCGTGACGCTCGCCAAACGCCTGGCGACATCCGGACTGCTCACCCCCGACAGGTAACCAGAACACCTGAAGTCTGGGTTTATTAAAGTCCAAGTTGGTGTCTGAAGCTGCACAGCTGTGGTCAGTGTGGCGCTTAAACTGGGTCCAGCCGGCACCAGCCACTGACATGTTGGGATGTAAAACTGGACACCTGTCATGTCTGGTGTCAGTGCTGCTGCGTCGTCTCACATTTTTTTCTATTTGTTTGTTTTTTGGGACCCAAAACAAGTTCTGTAGAAATATTTTACAGAATTTTGAAACTTTCATGTTTCCAGACCAGAGAATTATTGTATTTTTAACTTCAAAATAAAAACCTGAGAGTCCACTTCCAGGTTCAGAACCTCCAGAAATAAAAGTCCAACAGCTGTGACGTGGAGACTCAGACAGAAAAATTCCATCAGAACCACTGAACAGATCCATCGGGACACAGTTTCATTACTGGACCTTAAAACGTACCACAGAACCTGTTTTCTCCTGGTCCTACAAATGAGTCCAAATCAGCATTTTGACATGTCGATAAAACAAAAACCATGGAACCACGAAAACACCAAATTAAAGAAAAGAGACACAACAGATGGAGACGAACATTCAACTGTGATCCACATTTAGTCTGAACATCTAAGAACCAGAACCTTGTCTGGTCCAACTTCACCACATCAGGTTCTGCTGATGTTAGAGCCTCAACAGGTGGTGAAATGTGACCAGAGACTGGGTTCTGGTAGAACCATGGATCCATCCATAGACAGACACTGACAGGAACTTTATGGATCAATAATGAAACTGTGTCCTGATGGATCCGTTCAGTGGTTCTGATGGAACTGTTGTGTTTGAATCTCCACACTACACGGCTGTTGGACTTTATTTCTGGAGGTTCTGAACCTGGACGTGGACTCTCAGGTGTTCTATTATCATTATTATTATTATTGTTATTATGAAGGTCAATGACATGATTCCATCACTGGTTCTGTTTCTGTGTAAATAATGGATGGACGGATGGACGGTTCTGTTTCCTGCTGCTGGTCTCGGTGTTTCAGTGTCATTAATGTTCAACCTTCTCCTCCTTCGTCTCCTCAGTGATCCTACTGAGGGCTGCTTCAACTACCCTCTGGTGGAGAAGTTTCTGTCCACCAAGCGTTGCTGCCACTCTCTGCTCTTCCACTACCTGCTGTGTCGAGGTCTGACTCTGGTGACGCTGGTGTGCGCCTGCACTTACCTGGGCTATTACCTGCGACTGGCCTCCGACACCGACGAGTTCTTCTGCCCGCTGAGCGTCTGGCTTCTGGAAACCAACCCCGGAGTACCTGAGAAGGTGACGTGCAAGCTGATCGCCGTGGGAGTCTTCTCCCTGCTCAGGTAGACAGCCTCAGGTGTGTTCAGGGCACTGGACACGATGAGAACCTTTATTCACCTCTTTGTGCTGGTCTGTGTCTGTTTGTGGTGTTTTGTGGTCATGTTTGT